ATTGTCCAACCACTGGCCTGCTCCTTCCACTTTGCTTCTTTTTCCTCTTGTGGCCTGTCTTTGTTTTATAGTGTATATCATGTATTAATAGGCTGCTGTATTTATTCCCTTTTCCACTGAAAACCCTGAAATTTAAAGACTCAGGATTTGTATTACCCAGGTTATAGACTCGTAGGTAATTCGGAGTGCTTTCCCATTTCCCTTGAAGCCTTGGCGACTATTCATAAATCTGATTATAAATACCTTTCTTTGTCACAGCTTCAAAAAGCTAATTCCTTATTCCATTTTCTTTTTTACTTGCGTTTCAAATCTTTCTTTGTAGTTGCATTTTCTTTTTACTTTACCCTCTCTTCTGTACCCTCTCCATTTTCNATGACCCTTCTGGTTCCTGAGTACACTTAAAACCAGTTAAACCAATTACTGTTGCTCCACAGGTGTAACCACCTCCTTCATTGGTAATTTTGTAACATACATAACATACATGTAAATCTCAAATATTTAGTACACAAACCGAAAACATTTTTAGTTAAAATGTGATTTATTAAAGTCCATATACATGAACATATTTATATCAAGTAAAAGCTTTAGACGGTGAATTTAATGATTGAAGGATTCGCACAACTCAATGGACAGCATCCAACTCGGGATCTCTATTTCACCATTGTCAGCATAGAATCATGAAAGAAATAATTAAAACAGCGAAATTCGAAAAAGAAATTCGTCGGTAAAACGGCGAATACGTCCTTCTTAAAAATGAATGAGCGTAGAGCCTCTTCCTGCTCACGTTTCAATGAAAACCCCGTCTAATCCTTCCAAAACTGATTCCTAAGCTGAATCTGTTCAATAGTTGTTGCCATCTTCCTTGTTGTGCTTTCTCCAGCGTCACGTAGCTTTCAAAACGCATCTCTGCGTTGTGATTGGCCCGCCAGTTCTAGGGCCTGGGGCATTGATCAAGGCTAGACCACTCCCAGGCAAAAAGGATTTTGGCTGCTGGCGGGTGGGGCTAGTTTATTAAGCTAGTGAATTACACCTTTACCTAAAGTTCATACATGGTTTGGATCAGGCTTTTGGCAAGCAATACATACAGGGATACATTGCACACCCTTTACTAAAAAAATGACAAATTGTACGCCCTGTTTTTGGGATGTACGACTTTGGTATGCCCTAATTCTCCCCTGGAAACTTCGCTCAAACGTTGCCGTGTCTAAAGATGTGATACACCATGGTGTACACCCTATGAAATATTTCTAGGTAAAAGCCTGATCTGGAGCATTACCAAATTGTAATGAATTGTTCCTTTGCATGAGGCGCACCTTTGGTAACAATTTCCTTAAAATCCTTTAAGTTTATAAATAAGGCACGCTGTGTGTCTGCAGCCTCTGGTGTTTGTTCTGCTCTCACCTAAACAATCCAAACTTAATATTGATGAGCTGACTAGACAGATAAAGTTTTGAGGTGTACTGGCCTGCTAAAAACATTGTTTAAATTACATTTTAATACAGATAATGACCGACTGACTGACCAACGTTAGGGTTGCAGTTAGGTGGAGATAATTCTTNTTACTTTACCCTCTCTTCTGTACCCTCTCCATTTTCTATGACCCTTCTGGTTCCTGAGTACACTTAAAACCAGTTAAACCAATTACTGTTGCTCCTCAGGTGTAACCACCTCCTTTATTGGTAATTTTGTGAACCAAGTGTAGAGGTCTAACCTTAGAAAGTCTAAGCTTAAAAAGTTTATTTAAGACTAAAAAAAAGAAACATATCAACCTGCATCTGGCCAGTGTTGCATTTGAACTAAACAATTAATTTGAAATAACAACCAAATACAAATTCACACAATAATGTTATGTCTTTTATTTTAATATACATGTAAATTTTAAATATTTAAAACACAAACGGAAAACATTTTAGTTAAACTGTGATTTATTAAAGTCCATATACATAAACATATTTATATCAAGTAGCTTTAAACAGTGAATTTATTGATTGAAGGATTTGCACAACCCAATGGACAGCATCCAACTCGGGATCTCTCTTTCAGCGGTGTCAGCATAGTTTCATGAAAAAAAAAATTTATTTGTACATGTATACAATTGGTTGCACTCCACTAAATTGGGTTTACATTCAAAGCTAGTTTACGGAGCATGTATATTTCTTGTCTCTACAATGAAAAATCTCCAAACTTTCAGGCAAAACATTACATTTTATATTCTGGCACAGTTTTTACTAACCTGGCAAACCAGAGGATACATACAGTTCAATTTGAATTCTACACTTATTAATCTGGGGAGTCTCCTTGTAGAACCACTCTAAGAACATATTTAACTAGAAAAACATTCTGAGAGCATAGACCTCCACAAAGCAGCAAATTTAGCTTCAAATTGTGACTTACTAGCCTTATAATCCAGACTAAATGTGAGATTAAATGTGTAATTTAGTCTGGCCCCGATAAATGAGACATCGGAAGATTGTTGATGAGAACAACCCATTGTTTATTAAACCATGTCTGTGCATATTGGCCAACGCTCTGACCATTGAGCACAACTGCTTTGACGGAGTAAGTGCGACAGAAGGCTGGTGGAGGAGTGTAAACAAACAGGGTGTCGGCAAATATGTCGTAGAGCCTCTTCCTGCTCACGTTTCAATGAAAACCCCAAGTCTAATCCTTCCTAACCTGATTCCAGAGCTGAGTCAAATGAGAACTGTTCAATAGTTGTTGCCATCTTCCTTGTTGTGCTTTCTCCAGCGTCGCGCAGCTTACAAAACATATCTCTGCGTTGTGATTGGCAGTTCTAGGGCCTGGGGCATTGATCAAGGCTGGACCACTCGCAGGCAAAAAGGATTTTGGCCGCTGGCTGGTGGGGCTTGTTTACTAAGCTAGTTACTTACACCTTTACCTAAAATTTGTGCATGGTTTGGATCAGGCTTTTAGCTAGCAATGCATACGGGCATACATTGCACACCCTTTACTAAAAAAAAAATATAAATTGTACGCCCTGTTTTTGGGATGTACAACTTTGGTATGCCCTAATTTTCCCCTGGAAACTTCGCTCAAATGTTGTTGCACCTAAAGATGTGATACACCATGGTGTACACCCTATGAAATATTTCTAAGTAAAAGCCTGATCTGGAGCATTACCAAATTGTAATGAATTGTTCCTTTGCATGAGGCGCACCTTTGGTAACAATTTCCTTAAAATACTTTAAGTTTATAAATAGGGCACGCTGTGTGTCTGTAGCCTCTGGTGTTTGTTCTGCTCTCACCTAAACAATCCAAACTTAATAATGATGAGCTGACTAGACAGATGAAGTTTTGAGGTGTACTTGCCTGCTAAAAACATTGTTTAAATTACATTTTAATACAGATAATGACCGACTGACTGACCAACGTTAGGGTTGCAGTTAGGTGGAGATAATTCTTCTTAACCCAGAGCTCTAACTGGTCAACACTGATTTGACAGTAAGCCATTCCTGGACAAACTGGCTCTATAGGTAGATGTATTGAGGTAGATGTATTGAGGTAGATGTATTGAGGTGTACATTCTCGGTTAAAAACCTCTTGAAACGTATTCCATAACAAGCAACATTTGTACACTCACCTTCACGGGTTACTGCCACTTCTGGTGGAATAAAGCACTGCAGCTCTATATAAACCACCCCTCAAAAACCTAGAAAGTACTTGATCTTTAGTGGGAACGAAGCCACAGGAATTTAAAGCCGCAGAAGTTGGAGTGAAAACGGAAAAGGGGCTTTTGAGCACCATTTTGGAGCTAGAGGAAAAGCGGGCCTAATATTGGTAAGGATATCCCTACTTCATGCTGCTGTTTGTGCACTAAATTTGTCTAAAAAAGCTTCCAGACTACGGCTAAACTTATACTGAGATCCCACATGAGGACTCAATTCAGTTTGCAGTTTGGGGATTTTTTTAAAGTCACTTGCTGCATAATGCTTTGCATTGGTACATCACAGTCCAATACCTCGCAGGTTGTCATCGAAACGCGACACATGGTTTAATTTTCAAGGAAGTGTATATTGTCATTCGTTTAGATGATTCATCACTAATAATATTTTGTACCAAAATATTGGTGCACAGGCTGTCGTACCTCTACAGTTAGCCCAGGTGATGAAAAGCAGAGCAGGTTTCAAAGAGGTGTGGACTATAAATAATCAAACGTTATTACTGCCAACAACAGCTGTGGCGTGAGAACAGGTTTATGCAGCATAGAAGTCAGAGCAGCAGCAACATTCGCCGGGCATCATGGAGACTTTACAGAGGAGAAAAGGGGTGAAATGCCAGCGATGAGGTCTTTATTGTTGAACCTCCCTCTGCTCTTGCCTTTGAGTCACTCCAGCTGCAGTTTCAAGCGTTGCCGCCGAGCAGATGTTACAACTCAGTCAATTCCTCTGCTGCGGCGAAATGGTCTTCAAACAATTTCAAAAGGAATATGATGAAAGAAAACCACACATTGACCCCTTTAAGCCTTTTCCTGATACTTTCAGAATGCATCATCTCTTTTTTTTTTTTTCCTTTTTTGTTTTAACCCAGAGATCCAGACGCACTGATAATCCGAACCACTTAGCTCCTTTACTAGAGGAAAACAGTTTCCATGTGCCTGACTCACTGGCTGTAACTCTGAGCTGCAGACACCCAGGTGGTTTAAAAGCTTCCTCATCAATCCTTACTTTACACCAGTGGATGTCAGTAGCTGTTCTTTGTCACCTCAGCAACGCCTTCCAGGCTGCTTACAGTGGAGCATCAGGATCAAACTTTCCTGCAGGCGAGCTGCTTATGATGGAGACAGTTTTTTTTTTTTTGGTTTAACTTTTCATTGTTCTATTGGAGGGAAAAAAAAAAAACTTTTAGTTGCAGCAAAATAACCATTAACTCATAAAGCTCCTTAAATTACAGTTTTACCCTGCAAAGCAAGAATATAAACCCTTTCATTCTTTTTGTAGTTTGCCGTAACCTAACGATTTACTTTTTCTTTTCTTTTCTAGTCCTGTGTGCCAAAAACCTGGCAAAGAAAGACTTCTTCCGTAAGTAACCGACTTTTTCGTTTCTTTGAAATTTCCATTTGTACATTTTTTGTTTTATTAATCTGTTCAAGGTGTTCCCCTTTAAGACTTGTGGAAATTTATAACAGACACTGTAAGGTCCTGTTGATTCTAAGGATATATAAGACTGGTGAAGTGTCTGCTGTAGACATTAGAAGCTCTCAAGGTTCTACACATAGAATAGAAATGTCCTTTATTGTCCCACAGTGGGGAAATTCCGGATTACCAGCAGCAAAGTGAAAGGCAAATGGAAGCATGCAGATTCACACAAAGGTAAAACAATCTAGAAAATAAGAATAATAGACTGTACAGTAAGGGAAGAATATTGTACATGTAGAACAGATGGCTTTTTTTCAAACAAGTATAAGAACTGTGCAATGGAGTTTGGGGCAATAAAGAAATGTGCAAAACGTGTATTTACATTAATGCATTTAAAACACCGGGATACTGTTTACTAGACTGAAAAAAAAAACATGCAAAGCTGAAGGGATGTAAACACTTTCTGGGTTTGTTAAAGGCAGTGATGGTTATAAAGGTGCTGAGAGGAAGGATCTGTGATAACAATCTTTACTGCACCTATGTTTCCACGGCCACTGACTGGAGAAGCTCTAGAGGCAGCAGCCATTTAAACACGTGAATACTTTTCTCCATGTGTTCTGAAGTAAAGATTTGTTTTGTCCCTTTTGTTTGCTTCTTTTTTTGCTTAATTCTGAAGTGTGCCATAAACAGATTCTCCGCCTGGTAAAGATGTGTAAAAATAAAAAATAAACCCAGCTAATTTTCTTTTTCTGTTGAATAATCTCACACTGTATCCAGTATAATCCTCGCATGTAGATGCTTTAGAGGTTCTCAAACATTTCAGCCAGTGGCCCCAAAAAAGAATCCCCTAAAAACACATATTTAGATCAATTTATATCTATTTATTAAACAAACTAAAGGTAATTATATTTATTTCAATTCAATTCAGTTTGTTTATATATCGCTAATTGAAATCACGTCTTCTCAAGGCACTTTACAGAGACAATTCAACCATATCAAACAGTCAGATTGGTTTGAAGTTTTCTATCTAAGGAAAACCTGCTAATTGTATTGACTCATTGCTTCGAAAGCAATCCCACACACCAAGCATGCTTGTTGCGACAGTGGAGAGGAAAAACTCCCTTTTAACATGAAGAAACATCCAGGAGAACCAGGCTCAGTGTGAGCGGCCATCTGCTGAGGCCAACTGAGGTTCAAGGAGAGAGAAGCAAAATACAAAAAGGTAACTGTCAACCAGCTCCACAGGCGGCGCCATCCAGGAAACACACAGCCAGGCAGACGCGCTCTGAGCCAGCTTCCATGTCAGAGGATGAAGAGAGCACATCCATTTAGTCACAGTCAGAGAAACAGGACTACACTGTAGTGAGCCAAGCTCCAACATCTTTAAACAAAGGTGTTGATGGCAGCGTCACAGCTGATAATTCTCTCAATATTGGTGTCACAGACAAACAGGAACAGTCCAGATGAAGCTGCTATAATGAGAAAGAGCAGAGAGAGCATAATGTTAGAGATTGAACTAACAAATTCTACAGAATGGGAGAATAGAGATGGAATGAAGCGGAATGATTAGAAGTGGTCCCTATGTCCTCCAGCAGTCTAAGCCTATATCAGCATAACTATAGAGATAGCTCAGGATAACCTGAGCCACTCTAACTATAAGCTTTATCAAAAAGGAAAGTTTTAAGCCTAGTCTTAAAAGTAGACAGGGTGTCTGCCTCATGGACTAAAACTGGTAGTTGGTTCCACAGGAGAGGAGCCTGATAACTAAAAGATCTGTCTCCCATTCTACTTTTAGAAATTCTATGAACCATTTTAATTGTATTTTTAATAGCAATTCTACATCCAATCATTCAATTGTGTGTTTTACAATGTAATTTGGGAATATTTAATATCTGAATGTACTTACATTCAGATATCATGAGGGAATCACATTACCATGGTTAAAAAAAAAAAAACATCTTGCGACCCCCAACTTCGCTTTAGGAACCCCTGCTTTATAGGCTGAAAAAATGTCAAAATAATATGATTTAAAAGAGCCAGGCACTACTTATTTTAATCTGTCCTAATACTTTTATAATACATCTTACTCACATGTTCAGACTTGCACTTCAAAAACGATCTAGAAGAAAGTTAAAATAAAGGTTAAAAGTAAGTGTACCCTCACCCTTTACCCTTAATTGGAGTAGGTAAATAAGATGATTTTCCAATGGAATGAGATTTTTTACTCGTATAATAAGATTATTAGATAATATGCCCTTGAAATAAGACAATACACTTGTTTTCTTTTCTTATTTTAAATGCAAATTGATTTGTTCCATTGGCAAAGCGTCTCAATTAAGTCCTCAATTCAAGAAAAAATGTACTTATTTTAAGAAAAAAATAACTTATTTAGGTCTACTTTTTTTTGCCCTGCAGTGCTCTCGCATGACCTTCTCCGTCCTTAGACCTAAAGTCTATAGAAATTGTAGAAAGATGAACAGTCAGAGAAATCTGGCTCTGTGTGATCAGACGTCATGAATTATAACTGAAGAAAGCCAAAAGTTTGGGGCATTTTCTTTTCTAAAGAGCTTAACCAGTAATAATAATTGTGACACCTAAAGAGCTGTTATTCTCAACATTAAAGAACTTAAAGTTGAATTTCTTATACAGTTCTCATTGTACAGTACGTTTGTGCTACAGAAAACAAAACCTTTTTTTTATGAGGTTGGAACAACATGTGGCTGGTGCTGTGCCTAGTCACTTTGGACAGGCTGCAGACTGAATTTCCTAATACCCTCCTGTTGGGTGTTGGCAGAGTTTTGGTGTGTTTGGGGCAGGCTGTCATGGTGAAAGAGCATATAAAGTTCCTCCACCCTCTTGGGTGGTTTTTGTGCCACCCATTCCTGCCCTTCTGGTGTTATAGACTGAAGGATAGATTTACACTGAAAGTTATCAGGAGGGCAGAAACAAAAATATAAACTCTGCCACCTTCTTTGTGCACATGCCGTATAGTTCACCCAGTATAAAGAAAATGCTTCATGCCTTTCTTCTTTTTCAGCTCCACTCAATTTAGCTTTTTTTATAACTGGATAAGCGTCATTTCTTCTCTGTACAGGCAACTGAGATTCATGGTCATGTTAGCGCTGATGCTAATTATGAAAATATGATTGATTTCCACTTTTTTTCCTCAGAGGGTCAATATGTTTATGGCTGCAGGAATAAAAACGGAGCCATGTGTTTTTCACATTAATATTCAGTTCTCTACATTCATAAAATGTATATTTTCTACTTTGATCATGTGCTGGTGAAGATTCTTAGTCATCCAGGTCATATTGATTCTGTAAAAGTTTAAAAAACAATCCACTGGACTTTGTTTCCGAGGTTTGAAGACGTTTCGCTTCCCCTCCAGGAAGCTTTCTTAATTTCAGACATTTTTAATTGGGAAAGCTTCCTGGAGGGGAGGTTAAACGTCTTCAAACCTTGGAAACAAAGTCCAGTGGATTGTTTTTTAAACTTTTACGGAATACTTTGATCGTTACATGTACATAACTGTGGATTTCTATATTCTCTGGCTTCCACGCTGTATACAGCAGCAGAATATAATGTTTAAAAAACACAAGAGAATTGGTTAGATGAAAAACCTCAAAAAGGCCCCATGCTATCCATGGGATTTTCTAGCTGAAAGGTTAGCTTGAGCACTTGCTGCTCCAATGATTATTTTATTGTTCAAAAATCTCTGCCTTGATGAAAAGCATCAGGACTCTACATGGTCATCTAACCTGACTCCGCCAGATGGATTTGCTCCGCATATCCATCTGGAAACCTTCCGTAGAAGTAATTTTGTGAAGGGGCGAAAATACTGGTTAGCTGATTGGCCTATGTTGGTGATAGACGGGCCAAATAAACCAATCAGATCAACGAAGCATATGATGTAACAGAGCGACAACTAAGAGGAGCCAATTGATAGATCAAACTCTTTCCGAAACCAGTCGGGAGAAGAGCAAAAACATCTTTTCCTCTGAGAAAAGCCTCCAGAGCAGTGTTTTGCTCTTCTTTCAGTGAAGAAATACTCTTTAATTCCGATAAAACTTGCTCGATAGCCACGCTAACGCTAGTTTAATTGGCTGAAGCCGCCATGTTCTTTAGACTGAACTGTCGCGCTTCTCGTAGCGTCACACCTCAACCCGCCTCAAAGCCAACGCTGATTGGACGTTCGTTTGGTGAACGGCTCCAAATTTTCTTTAACGGAGAGTCTCCAGACTGATCTGCGAGTGAAATCTTGAAAGCTCGCGAGATCAGGATGGTCTCACGAGGCTAATGGTCATCTGTCCACAGTGGCCATTTTAGTGTTTACTGAGGTCAAAAATTGGCCCCACTGTCTACATTAGTGTGACAGTCTCCTATATGACCTTATGACCTTCCTTGATGGTGGGCTTCTTAGATTTTATGTTTAGTTTTAAAAAGTACGAATGATATATATTCTTTAGACTTCTAACTGGCTGTAATCAGTATCATACAATGGCCTGCAAATGATTCACACCCCTATGAACATGTTTCTTTTACATTTTGTTACAAACTCTAACATGCTTTTATCAAGATTTTGAGCATCAAATAGATGGTCTTATGATTTTTTAATGAGAAAATATTTTGATCAGTTGGCAAAGACTGTAGATTTAAAGAGTTTCTGGATACATGCCACCAAGCATGCAGCTCTTATTGCAGCGAGTCGCATCAGGTAAACAGAATATAAAAGCAAATCACACGTTATCTGAATAGAAACAGTGCATTTGTTTTTGTTGTTTTCTTCATTAAACAATGTCCTGCTGCTCTTTATTGGTCTTTCACATAAAATCACACCAAAATATATTGTTTATTTTAGGGATGCAGTGATGCTGATGAAGCAAACCAAAAGTTTTGGGCATTTTCTTTTATAATATAATACAACGTATTTTTACTTGTATCTGTAAAAGCTCTCTGATACTAAATGACTGGTGTGATGCCATATTCAGGAATTCATTATGTTGTGAGCAGTACTCGAGTTGAGGGGGGATGAGGGTGGGATGGCATCCCCCTTCTTAAAAAATATCTTAAAAATCATCCCCCTTCTTAAATTACCATCCCCCCCATACCATCCCCTGTGACATTTTATCACTGAATTTGTAAATGTTTACTATAGATTAACAGTAATGGCAATAATATTGCCCTTTCAACATTTGGCAGGCTGTGCGCTTATGAGTAGCCTGACCAAATTATGGTGGCCCAGATGGCACATACGATTTAGTTTTTTTAACCTCAGTGGTGCAACCAGCGGAGCAGATGACTGTGTTCTGAACAGCATCACGGAGAAGCTGCAAAGACGACTTGAGGGAATGTGAAAATAAGGAGGGAAGGGAATCTTCGGCAGGTTCCCGAGATCTCCCTCCCCTGCTTTGTTTGAGAAATAATGTGCAAGTTTCTCTACAAAATCATACCTGTTCTCTGTTATTGTTGTATGTCTGGGACAATAAATGTGAAAATAAGGAGGGGAGTGAATCTTCTGCAGGTTCCAGGTTCTAAGTTTAACAAATAAAGTGTCAGAAATGATCTAGAATGGTGTTGATTGCAAAATCTGGAATTTGCATCCACTGAGCAGAGAATTTATTCATCGCACGCTGACTGTAGCACATCGACTGAAATGTCTCTCCGTACAAGTAAAATCCTATTAATTCAAATTTATCTGTCCAACAAAACTATCAATTTTGAGGCATCAATTTATAAGAAAAAAAAAATTAAGAATATGTTTAAAATTTCCCTTTCGTTCATATTTCAATCCGTTTTCTCATCAATGGGCGTGAGTTTAAGGAGATGCGCGCTAACGCGACAGGGGAGGTAATTCTAGGTACGACAGATGAAACCTGGAGGAGAGAATCGAAGGTTTGAAAAATGCATTTTAATTAAGCCATTTAAGACACGTGTTAAGATTATTATCTTGAAGGAACTGCCAAATGGGATGTAAATGTCTGGCCCATGGTCATAAATGAATTGAACGTTGAAATCTGACTGCAAGGTCCCTCGTGTGACGTGTAGAATGACTGTTGTCCAATCAATGGTAAATATAGTTCCACTGACCTGATGAATAGTTTTAACTCATTTATTGCCAGTGTGTAGCCGAGCTTATTTTAAATTAGCCAATAGAAGCAATACTGATTTTCTGATAACCAGTCTATTTTATAAATAATGAATGAATATTTGAAAGGAAATTTTACCTAAAACAATGAGGGGTAAAGGGGCTACCTCTGCACCCCTTTTGCTGTGTGCCACAGCTTTTCTGTAGCTGAGGCAGTCACAGTGGAAGACATGGACTGACTCAAACCACAAACAAAATTAATTCTGATCAATATAGACAGCACTTGTTTTTTAATCTATAAATTTCATTAAAATATCGCAAAAGAATCCACATAATAACGAAATAATCGTCAACTAATCCAGTAATCGATTAATCATTAACTGGAGAATAGAGAATGTAAAATATGCCTTTAGCTGATAGAGCGACCCACTTAGAACAGTAATTATATCAGAATTGTATAAAAATATATTAACATTTTGCATTTAAGATTGAAATAGACATTTTTGTTTGTCAATATGCTCTATCCAGAACTCCTCAAGTGGAAAAGTTTTAGTTTCACCTGGTTTCATTTAGTAAAAAATCTTCTTTAAGGAACCTTTGGTTATCCAATCATTTATCGATTAAAAGCGAAAATAATCAACAGATTTATCCATTGGCAAAATAATCATTAGTTGCAGCCCTAATCGTAATTATATCGTACTGTGACCCAAGTATAGTAACACGTATCGTATCGCAACACACATTCCAATACTCACCCCTACTACTACACCTAAATTCACAGGATGTATACCTAAACCTTAAAAAAAGTTAACGGTAAAATATATAATGGATCAAACACTGGATGGAGGAAAACCATATAAAGGAAAAGAAGAAGAGGCTACCAGCTACTATGGTAGCTGGTAGCCTCTTCATGTTATCAGTGGAAATTACCGGGTTAGCTTAGCATCCAGACTGGTCTGTAAGCGGAGCTCTGATGCTCTGAAAACCTTAAAACTAAACATTATTGAGTAAAACTAAATGATTTATGTTTATCAAAGTTATCAAGAGGATTTAAAAAAAGAAAATGCATCTAAACAGAAAATATGATCAAACTTTTCATTATGAGTTTTCATATATGTATTATTTGGTCAGTACTCAGTGTAAAATATCAAATATAATATAAATATCAATGCTTGTAGTTTCATTCAGGTTGGAATAATCTGGTATTGTTGCATCGTTAATATTGATGTGTTTTATTATGCCACTTAAAATAAAAAATACGGTGAAAAAAAGGTATCTCTCATCTCCTTTCAGGCCTTCCTGATCCCTTTGCCAAGGTCGTTGTGGATGGTTCAGGCCAATGCCACTCAACAGACACTGTGAGGAATACGCTTGACCCAAAGTGGAACCAACACTATGATCTGTGAGTCCCGGCTGATTCATATCACACTCCTGACATTTGTTTTCAAAGATGAAAGTCTCCTCATTGGTTTGTGCCTCACACCTTGTCTGTCTGTCTTTAACCTTATTGTGTCTGAGCTGGTAACCGGACCTAATGGGTAACAGATGAAAACACTCCTTCCATCTGGCCTCTCAGTGTGTAGATCCTTTACGATGACATCAGGACAGAGTCTAAAAATGTCCTCTGGAGCAGCACTTAAAGAAGCAGAACGTTATTTTCCCGCACTGCCTAAAACACGTGCATGTCCTGTTGCACCGTGATTGCATTTTCCCCAAAGATGGTCTGTCCTGTGAAAGCAACCTGGAAAAAAGTGCAGACGGAGCGTGAGAGTGAAAGTTTCCAGCGTCCGCCCGGTGTTTATCCAAACCGTCAGTCGTGGCCAGCAAACGGGAGGAAGCACGTGTCCCAGTTTGTTTGGTTGCCGTGGAAACGGGACCCTCTCGGTCTCTCTTTCCGCGCAGCCGTTACAGGAACAGCTTGACTGGATGCAGGCGCACCTGAGGGACGATCAGACGGCGACAGGAAGCTCTCTGTGTTTAATTCGTCCCATGAGTCTGCAGATACGCTTGACTGGAGTTTATGTGAAAGCGACTTTTCTGTGCCAGTGATGCATTCCCACAGTTTCAGTCTGTCAGAGTTTAAGCTTGTGTCTCGCTGACGGATTCTCAGGTGGTACGGTGAGGGTGGGAGCATTTAGTAAGCCGTCTGCAGCCTTTTTTCCTTCTTAAAATCTGAATGCAAACAGAAATTTCAGCAGCTTCCTGTTGTTTCACTGACGAGTCACCAGCAGCAAACTGGTCCATGAACTGTGACCCTTCAGCATTGTTGCAGGATGTGGTGGACAAGCCAAAGATAGAAGGTCTGGTTTCTTTTCTCACACATTCGTTCTTGAACTCAGCGCAGGATATGATGAAGATTAACGAAAAGCCCACAAACTAGCTTCCCCAATTTGTCAGCCTGCAGACGGCAAGATGCTTCGATGATTTGTAATGATATCATTTCTCGGAGGGCCAGCGCTCATTAGCTTGAAGTGTTTGCCACACTCCTGGTATTTTTCCCTTTATCTCATTAGGTTAATAAAGAGTCCTTTAGATACCGCATTAAGAAATCCTGGAAGTGTTAAGTGCCCAGTGCGTCTTAAATTATGCACACCCACTCATCCATTCATTTTCCTGTGACCAACTGAGCTGTTTTCTAACTTAAACTGTTAGTTATTAAGTTGTTGGTGTTATTTATCCAAACCAAGGCGTCATGCCTACAAAAATAATTCATTTTTTACAAGGAGTTTCTATGGTGTATTTAAACTAATTTTTTAAAACTGATGCATGAGAATTTAAGAAATTAAATGAACAAAGGTGCATATTTTCATGGAGAAGCAGGGTAATATCTAAAGATTAAACTTTTGTCACAGTAGAGCCACAAGTTAGAATGTCTTTTTTATATTTATTGTAATAAAACATGAGGAAGGATAATATTCATGGATTTTTTTATAATTTTTTGTATCTGTCTTCCTCCCACTTTACTCTGATTCCCCTAAAAAATAATCCATTGAATCCAGCAGCCTTCAGTCAATTCCTCATGGGTTTTGAAACCAACCAGTCTGGAATATTTGGAAAATTCTGGAAAATGCGAAGGAAAAAAAAGTTTCTCAGAGAATGAAAGGCTTCTGCTGTGTTGGAGCCGCCATGCACCCAAAAGCTGAAAGGCAATAGATCTGGAGAGCTTCAGTTGGAGACCTCTGGTCTAAGCTAGATTCAAAGAGACTAGGGGTAAAAAAAACTTTACTTTTATTTTTTAACCACAATCATTCAATGCTTTGGATAAAAGTAACATACTAACTATGATCGATCATTTCTGTTCTCTATTGTAAAATTTATTGTCAAATTCACATTCTTAACATTTAAAAGATATGGACTATAACTTTAATAGGAGAAGCAACCTGGTTGTTCATGGAGGAGCTGCGGAGAAGCACAGCTTAGATCAGTGAATCTGGCTTTACTCTCGTAGTTTTACAACTTTATTCTCGTTATGTTACGACTTTATTCTCATAACTTTATGACTTCAGTCGTGTAAATTTATGACTTTATTCTCAGAATTTTACGACTTTATTCTTGTGATTTTATGACTTTATTCTCTTAATTTATACGACTTTATTCTTGTAATATTACGATTTCAAATAGTAATTTTACGACTTTATTCTTATATATTTACGACTTTATTCTCGTAATGTTACAACTTTATTCTGAGAATTTTATGAATTTATTCTCGAAATGTTACGACTTTATTCTCGTAATTTTATGACTTTATTCTCGAAATGTTACGACTTTACTCTCGTAATTTTACTACTTTATTCTCTTAATGTTCCGACTTTATTCTCATAATTTTACGACTTTATTATTGTAATATTATGATTTCAACTCGTAATTTTACGACTTTATTCTCATATATTTACGACTTTATTCTCGTAATGTTACGACTTTATTCTCGTAATTTTATGACTTTATTCTTGAAATGTTACGACTTTATTCCCGTAATGTTACGACTTTATTCTCGAAATAGAAGAAAAAAAATCTCTAGCCTGGCCTTAATAACCTGACTCCACCATATGGATTTGCTCCCCATATCCATCTGGAAACCTTCCGTTGAAGTAATTTTGGGAAGGTGCGAAAATACTGGTTAGCTGATTGGCCTATGTTGGTGATAGACGGACCAAATAAACCAATCAGGTCAACGAAGCATATGACGTACTAACAGCCAGGCTACTCTTGCCGAAACCAGTCGGGAGAAGAGCAAAAACATATTTTCCTCTGAGAAAAGCCTCCAGAGCAGTGTTTTGCTCTTCTTTCAGTGAAGAAATACTCTGTAATTCCGATAAAACTTGCTCGATAGCCACGCTAACGCTAGTTTTATCGGCTGAAGCCGCCATGTTCTTTAGACTGAACTGTCGCGCTTCTCGTTGCGTCACACCTCAACCCGCCTCAAAGCCAACGCTGATTGGACGTTCATTTGGTGAACGGCTCTAAATTTTCTTCAACGGAGAGTCTCCAGACTGATTAGCGAGTGAAATCTTGAAAGCTCGAGAGATCAGGATGGTCTCACGAGGCTATGGCCTTAATACTCCGTTGTAGACTATTATACCACAAAACTTTGAGTTTTTTTTATTTGGAAAATAAAATATTTTTCACCCTTCCATTTTCTGACACGCTTAATCCCAAGTGGGGTCACGAGGGGTGCTGGTGCCTATCTCCAGCTGTCTACGGGTGAGTGGCGGGGTACACGCTGGACAGGTCGCCAGTCCATCGCAGGGCAACACTGAGACAAGCAGGACAAACACCCATTCATGCACACGCTAACACCTAAGGAGAATTTAGAGAAGCTCACATGTTTTCCTTTCAGGTAAACTATTTTCTACCAACTTTGTATTGATTTCTTAAAATATCAATAAAAATGTATTTAAGTTTGTGGATCTGATGTGTAGCTCTAAAGTCTACTATGTACTTTCAGATTCTGGTTTAAAACTTGTTATTGTTAATTGCGGCGGTTTTCTATTTCCTGCATAATGCCTTGTTGATCATGTGTTTTTTCACTGTAGCCAAAGGAATATCTTAAAGTTAATTAAAAACAATGCATCTAGCTCAGAAAATATTTTCTTTCTTTATTGCCATGCTTAATTTTTCTCATGTGGACTTGTGTGTGTTTTTACTGTCTACCGCTGAGTTAAAAATTCTTCGCCAGTCTTGTGAGTCTGACAACATGAAGGGTGATCCAAATGACTGGGTTTTTGCTTGCTTTGCGTCCCTCCCATCATGTCTGTCTGACAGAGAGGCTCGCTCACATCGCACCCCAGACAGGCATTTGGCATCGACCCAAAACGTCCAGACGTCTTACTCACAGCCCCATTGTTTCATATCCCTTTCGGTAAGCAGCAGGATGATTACATGGGATGCATTTCTGCAGATCGTTCAGTCAATTCGTTTTAAGCTGGGGGAGGGTGGGTGGTGAGCCCACCCGAGCAGATGTGCCACAACAAGTTCAGATATGGCCTGGCCTAGCACATGAGGAGAAATGCATTAGAGCACATTAGGGCTGAAATCCAGGAGCAGACAGACATAAACAGAAAGTAGAGCCACTTTCATCTAAATGTGTCTTTCAGTTTCAGTATGTGTCTTGGCTGCTTTGATTTAGTTGCATTGCCTTCCTGTGTTTTATTTATGTATTTTTACTGACCCAAAAGGCAGAACAGTTGATCCATTAATGTTTTTTTTTGTCTACAATAGTAGCCGAGGGAAAATGATGGACATGGGAGTCTATTTGTTTTGTTAATGTGACCTAATTCCTTAATTTGAGCTTTTTATTGTTATAATTTAATACAAGAAGTAGTGCTTTTTTTGTAACTTGAAAGAGTTTTTCCTCCAGAAATGGTTGGAGTTTTACTTTGGGAGGGTTTGTGCAAGAAGTTATCTACTTCTTTGTGTTACCCCAGGCTCACACCGACTCCGGTCTTACCGTTGCGGTGCGGTGGGTGCGGCGCCGCAG